ACTTGAAAATAAACATAAAAGTCAATGAATTAGTGTGATCAACAACATTAATGTTGTTTAAATAACATCGAGCGTCGGTGACATAGCGGTTAGGACGCCCGCCAACCATACACATGGTTCGTGGCTCGATCCCCGGCCGATGCATTCCTTTACCTCGCTATGCCAGAAATAATCCTGGTAAAGAGGAAAGGTTGGGCATGAGGCTAGCAACCCCATCCTGTAAAATAAACACTGCTACAGAAACCTCAAACCACTAGCTTGAAGCCCTATGTTCCACTGGGGAACGTGAAGGAAAAAAAATAACACTGAACAAATAATAATAATGATATGAATGGATTACAGTTCAATAGAATCAATTTAACAATACACTGAATATCAGGCAAATTAGAAGAAATCATAATAATACAAATTAATGAATTTATTGTCTCCACTGGTGGCTGGTGGAAAGAGGGCAAAGTACCCGAGGATTGGAAGAACAGTTACTTATTCAAACTTCCAAAGAAAGGAGACTTAAGTCAATGTAAAAACTGGCGTGGAATTATGCTTCTGTCCATTCCAAGCAAGATACTAAGTCGCATCATCCTGGAGAGAATCAAACAAGCCCTAGATGAAAAACTTCGTCCGGAACAGGCTGGATTCAGGAGAAACAAATCATGTATTGATCAAATCGCCACTCTACGGATCATCATTGAAGAAAGCTTGGAATGGCAGTCACCTCTCTATCTCAACTTCATCCAACAGTTATACGACAATGCTGCATGCCAAGTAATCCACAACGGAAAACTTACGGAAGCCTTCGAAGTGAGGACGGGAGTGAGGCAAGGCTGTCTACTATCACCAATGATCTTCCTGATTGCAATTGATTGGATAATGCGACAGACAACGGCAACCAACGAGGGAACAGGCATAAAATGGACTGACACAAAAGACTTGGAGGATCTGGATTTCTCCGATGATATATGTCTGATCTCCCACAAACTGGAAGATATGCAAGTGAAAAGCAACAAGCTGGCATAAGAAGCATCAAAGATAGGACTTCACGTGAACATAGATAAAACAGAGATAATGAAGATTCCTAGCCAACATCAACAGCAACCACAACAACAGACAACAATAAGCATAAATGGGAAGAACCTGAAAGAAACAACCTCCTTCACCTACCTGGGAAGCATCGTCTCAACTACAGGCGGAACTGACGAGGACATCAAAGTCAGAATCGGAAAAGCAAGACAAGCTTTCATTACTCTCAAATCTGTGTGGAGGTCAACAGCAATCAGCATCAAAAATAAGATCCGGATTTTCAACTCCAATGTGAAGTCAGTGCTACTATACGGATCAGAGACTTGGCGAGTCATAAAGAGCATCTCAAACAAATTTCAAACCTTCATTAACAACTGTCTCCGCTCAATACTCAAGATCAGATGGCCAGAAAAGATCAGCAACAGGGATCTCTGGGAGCGAACCAATCAGGAACCGATTGTGAAACAAATAGGCAGAAAGAAATGGAGATGGATTGGCCATACGCTGAGGAAACCAACAAGTGACATCACTAGACAAGCCCTCGAGTGGAACCCGAAAGGGAGGCGGCGAGTTGGTCGTCCAAGGGTGACTTGGAGGAGGTCATGCGAGGAGGAGATGAAAGCATGTGGACATACCTGGAGCAGGGTGAAAAAGTTGTCAGAAAACCGAAGTCAATGGAGGTGCGCAGCTGAAGCCCTATGTTCCTCTAGGAACTAAAGGATACAATAATATATATAATAATACTGGTGGCTAGTCAGAGCAGTGGAAATAGCTGGATGGACTTGTTTTTTATCCACACAAAGCACTGGTTGTTTCAGACGATTTGCCATAGCCTTTACTGATTGGAGTATGTGACACCTGAATGCTTTTGCCAGTTTATCTAGCATCCGGTAGATGGTGAAGCAGGAGGATTCGTCAGTGCTGGCTTTGTAGACGAATAAGCCCAGGTTTTCTAATATTGAACTGTTGATGCTTTTTACTACACATTTATTAAGCCATTCTGGTAGATGTTCTCGAGCGACCACAAACAAAACGTTCCTAGAGCAACGACCAATATAACTCACTTTTCCACAAGTGCAGTTGAATTGGTAGATACAATTAGAGGTGGCTGATCCAATCTAGGTACTTCATCTTTCAATTCAGGTATCACTACCAGTTGTGTAGAAAATAAAACTTGTAGTTTGTCAGCAATACAAGTTCTTTGAACTGGTTTGCCTAACTTTTTCATAATTATCTCGCTAGGCATATCGCTGTTGAACTACAGTCGTATAAAGGTTTCATGATCACGGATCAAATTTTTTAGTCGCAAGATTCGTGATAAATTTGTCAGGATAGCTATTTCCAATCAAGGTATCATGTACAATTCTTGGTTTATCTTCATATACCTCTTGTGAACGTAAATGTCTAACCCTGTGGCTGAGGTCCTTACTAAATTGCTTTGTACTGGAGAGGAACAAAAACAATTTAATGGACATTTTTAACCAGTTGAAAATAATTTTGCTAACAGATTTCAGCTTACTATTTCCTTCATTCCTTACATTCTAAGTGAAATATAAGTCTTCACGCTTTTTGTAATCTCCGAAGTAGTGATACTGTTTGTACAGGTGTAACAACAGAAGACAAGGGCCAGGCAACAGATCGTTTTATTATGAAAATCAACACGTATTTATACATCTTTCAACTGCATTATTATAGACAAGCGCAGTCATCTGATTGGTTGTTTAGGTAGACAAACGCAGGCTTCTGATTGGTTGTTTCGGGATTCCTTGACAAATAGAGTTCTCTCTGCGAATCATATTCTGCCACGTTAACTTTGCTGTGATTGGTTGTTGACTCAGGCTTGTTCATATTTTCTCACGGCCCATATTAGTGACCTAGACCTTAACGTAGATTAGTGCCAACCAATCGGCTAGCAGCCTGCTCTCACCACACTCGTCCCCCCGTCAAATACGTGCGACTGAAGTCGGCTTGATCTACTTGGTGCAGGCGTCATCGTTGGCTTGTCTCGCTGTATCCATTTCTGGAGCTCGCTGACGTTCACGCGCCTCTCATTGTTCGCCATTGCGACTGTGTCTGCGTAACCCCATCTCGAAGTGACCATATATGGTCCTTCCCACTTTGGAAACTGTTTGCCTGACCCTGTCGAACATTCGTCCATACTTCGGCCCACACCTTCATATGCTGCTTTCGCCCGACCTCCCAGCAGCGTCTCAAGTAGCAGCTCCATCGCTGACAGATCTTGAACGCCACTCAACTGCGCAGAAGCCTTGAAGTCCTGCCCGAAGATCCATATGTCTCCATCAAAAACTGCAGGGTATAGGCTTTTCATTTGTCGGTAGGCAGCGACACCAAATGTAACAACAGAAGACAAGGGCCAGGCAACAGATCGTTTTATTATGAAAATCAACACGTATTTATACATCTTTCAACTGCATTATTATAGACAAGCGCAGTCATCTGATTGGTTGTTTAGGTAGACAAACGCAGGCTTCTGATTGGTTGTTTCGGGATTCCTTGACAAATAGAGTTCTCTCTGCGAATCATATTCTGCCACGTTAACTTTGCTGTGATTGGTTGTTGACTCAGGCTTGTTCATATTTTCTCACGGCCCATATTAGTGACCTAGACCTTAACGTAGATTAGTGCCAACCAATCGGCTAGCAGCCTGCTCTCACCACACAGGGTATGGTTGCCAGCGTCATGCTTACTACTGGCTGTTAAACATCCTGACACTGAACCAATGACACACCTTAGCGTATTTTAAGTAGAAGGACACCATGCAGAAACTGCCACGAAAAGGTTCTAAATTATTTACTAGTGAAAGTATTATTCATCTAGTTGATAAGACAGAGTAGATAGTAGAAACACAAATGATAAATATTTAAACTTTGTTTTTTGATTGACATGTAATCTTTCATATAAATCCACAGAAAGCTCCAATATTTCAGCCAGAGTGTACATATTAATTCTCCATCTTTTATGTATTCGTATGATTTATTATATAATTTAAAATGAAAACATTAAGAAAAAGATGTCGTTTATCCTCCGAGAAAAATTTCTCCTAGTCTTCAGTACGAGATCAGAAACAACTTTCTATTGTTTAGATCAGTTAGGTTTTACTTAGTAGAAACAATAAAGTCCAAGTACCCTAATCGAATGGTAATAAATTTTGAGAAGCAATTATTTCGGATTGCTTATCGCAATTAGTACTTTTTCGTGAATACTGTGAAATCCTTCTGCTGAAATTCCATAATATTATGCTGATTCTTGGTGTATAAAACAACAGTACTACAGCTAATGATGCTAGTCACTGTCATGTCACTAGGCACAGAATTGAATCCAGAGTGTTTCGCTAATCACTTTCACTCACTTTAGATCTGTTCAGAATACACAGCGATGTTTAGTCACCTAGGACCATGAACGCTTAGATAAGTGGACCGATAGAGTTCACTCAACAATGAGAATTAGATACCTTATAGAGTAATTAACGTGTATCTAAAACATATTTAAAGTGTATACAGACGACAGTTTCGAGTTGTTTGACTACTTTAGTTGAAGCACTTAATAATCATTAGCCTTTGTGTTTCTTTTAGTAATACGCTATTTACTATTTTAAACTTGTGCTACTAACACCACAATTAAATATGCGATGAAATAAAAGTGAATTAGTAATACCTTTAATTATTAACTGAGAATGAAACACTTGTATACTAGAGGATTCTGCAGATCAATACATGTTTCATTGCTTTCCAGTGGCTAGTAACACTAAAGAAGAATCGTAGTACCACCCATAGTTTTGTTTTAATTACAGTCATCAACTATGGCGTCTATAACAGTTTGGTAGCAACTCAAGGGTATATAAAATGGTCTCTCTTATTTTGTTGATCAGTACTTCATATTGCTAATTTTTGATATTTCTTGGATTTTCTTTTTGATTCGCTAACACTTCTCACCTGTTTTGGTGTCTTTGTTTCCCTTAGGTGGTTTGCGTTATTTCCGCGTTGATGACAAAGAGTATTTATCTTACCAGAGATATCGACAAGAAGTTAAGCATCGAGACGAACAGTAAGTTTTGTATTACATGCTTTACATATTGTTCTCAACCAGTATTTTAATAAGTCCGTATGGTATGATTTATATTTAATTTAATACAAACTTGAAGACCTGTGGGTAAAAAAAACATGTTGGCGAACGAGATAACAAAGGCACGACTTCATTTGAATATAGAGAAGACAGAGGTGATGCAGATAACCAACTGATAACATCGAACAACAGTCACCATCGATGGAGCAAATCCTTGGGGAAGTCATCTTTTTTATTCATTTAACCTGGACAGTTTCGAACAACTGCAGGCAGCACGATTGAGAATGTCAAAGCCATCTAACGTCAGATGATGGAAGAAGGACAGGCACTGTTCTACTCTGAAACCAGCGTGGAGGTCTACAGCATTCATTTAGAAAAAGGAGCAAGGTCAGAAAATTTGAACTCAGCGTTAAGTCACTGCTTTTGAATGGTTCAGACTGTAGACTTTTGTCAACAACTGTCCTCTCGGTGTCAGTCCTAAAGATCAGCTGGCCAGTCAGTCGGAAAGGTTAGACAACTGGGAGCTATGACAACAAACCAAACTACAACCTACCAACCGTCAAAAATGCAGAAGGAAATGGATACTGGAGACTGGACATACACGCGCCAGGCCTTCGAATTAAACCTAAATGAGAAGCGATGGGTTGAATATAGGTCTGAGAGTGACATCGAAGAGATCTTGTGGGTAAGAAGTGGAAGGTCTTTGGGCAGTCGTGGATTTAAATAAAAAGGATAAATGAAAACCGAATGATATAAAAATGTACTGTTAGTCTTCCTTTCGCTCCCATATTATGAAATTTGTGCAGTTATTCGTTTACTGAAAAAGGATTTTTTCTCACAATCATTTCCTGCTTTTTGTAATCATGATAGTAAACGAAATGTCTATGAGGAACAAACAGAAATGTACACAGTAAAACTGAATAATTTAGGAAGTATATATTATTCTTTTTCTTAACGCCTAGTTATTTTCTCTCAGTATTTAAACAATATAGGAGAAATTGAATTGAATTTTTGATTTTCCCGTCGATTGATTGGACCGAAGTGCTCGGTCTCAGGTTGACATGTCGGCTTCTTGTGCAGATGCTTCGACGATGTCTGGGTATTTAATTAGTATACAATTGGTGGATGGTGGCTAGCAGTGGAATCCAGGATGCGCATTTCGTCCTATTTGGGACTCGTCAGCTGAATGTACCTGCATTTCTCAGTGAGTGATGATGTTCCCACCGAGGCTCGAACCCAGTACCCATAGTTTCGAACGCCAAAGCGTTATCCACTAGACCACTTGGGCCACGAGAGCCACGAGAAACAAAAGCCAAAGAAGAAAGGAAGGAAAATTCAAAAATGATTTAAAGTTCGGGTTCATGCAGTACTTATTTTCTCGCTTACTTCAGATTACTAATGAGATTGTACTACTTTAAACTCAATTACGCATTATATTAAAAAATAGAGAAGCCTTTTATAATCTTAGTAGTATTTCTCAGATTTGATTAAACTGTAAAATGCTACAGGTGAAACAAACCAGTGAATATTAGCCATCATAAATCGTCTTATTTCTACTTACAGAAATCCACGTAAACTAAAGTAAGTTTCGAAGAATAAAGATTATTAGTTAATGATATCAAAGAACTTCTGAATAACTATGGCATTCAAAAAACCGTCGTAAACCCATCTTAGTTGTTCACTAACCGTTTCTTAAAGAAGAATACTTAGCGGAAGAGTTAAAGATATACTCTTTATAATTTCCTGTTAACTCGTTGGAGTGACGACTAAAGTGGTAAAAGAAGCTTTGGTTGTTTTCCATTTTATACCATGCCTGATTTAACTATTTAATTAGCTAAATGAAATGTTTACAGTCAGGTGGTGGGGTATTATAAGAAAAGTAGCTACTCATTTGAATGCTGTTGCCACTCAATTTCCTAATTCCCCTTCTATAGTCACTCATTATTCAAACATCAGTCTTTTTGATCGGATACTAGTCAGTAACTGGCGTGCAGTGCGTGTGTGTGTCTAGTCCTATCTTTGGTGTAGATTGAATTCTACCAGTCAGGTTTGCAATGCGGCCACCATACTAGGTGGCTCGCCATCATGATCCACTGTGAATTGTTGGCATTAGATAGTTTGAGGCAATCGGCAGGAAGCCTTCGACCTAGGTTTCGTGCTAGTTGGCAATCGTCAGCAAGGTGTATGTGAAACCTGGAAAAAACTCATTTCAATTCTGGGATTCGAACCCGCGTCACCCAGTGCTGCAGTCGGAGACGTTATCACTTAGCTATCTGGGCCTTGCTGTCGAGTGACAACTGGCATGAATCTTAAGTCCACGACTTCCTGCCGATTGTCTCCAATCATCTATCAGTTGAAAACTATATCGCATCTTCTTATTGATTAACGCATACTCATAGTGACCACATCTGCGATAGTCTTGAATAGGCAGACTGTTGTTGACATGGGGGTTGATGAAGGAAGTTGAAATGAAAATCTGGTTGTCAGTAAAGTTGGAGTCAGTGACTTGCAAATTTATCAGTCTGATTTGAGTATTTGGTAAATGAATTAGAATGTAGTAATCTCGGTCTCACTCATGTTTAACTCCACAGCTCTCGCCTGATAGGGTTTCTTTGATTGACTTACTTGTGTAAACCAAAGCACCTTCTTTTAAGAGGTGTAAAATATATCTGGGTAGTTTATTCGATCATACAAAGAATATCATTGTGGGCACAATTTCACCAGTTCTAGATATCATACTGACAATTTTTGTAAGCAGAGTGACTGTTCGGTTTCAGGTTTAAGATAAGATAAGATAATAGCTTTATTCCAAATCAGTACTTGTGATACAGAATGGAATTCTCAGCATTTTTACTACAATATTGCATCCAGTTAGTACATTAACAATAAATAAAGTTCTACATAGATTAAAGTTATCTCAGTCAGTTTTGACAAAAACATATTAGCATGTCGGTAGCAAAGCCAAAATTTAAACAGTGTTTGAAGGTGTTAGAAAAGTAGATACTACTAGCATATTTACTGGCGTAAGCGATAGCAAAATGGTCGAGATATACAGAGTGTGAAAGAACGAACAAGAATGTTTTAAGTAGAGTTTGTAAGGAAGAGAGAAACAAAACAGCACATAACAAAAATAAATACAGAAAAAGAAAAAAAAGGTAGAGAGAAAACGTTGTACCTGTAAATGATGTGAGTTGGAAAGACGAGATCCATTTGTTCTACTGACTATTTAATAAGTTAAAGGTTTCACGCCTAATGCTTTCTTTATCGCACAGAACACGAGCTAGGTAGGGTATGGATGAGTTTTTGTACTTACTAGTGCGGGCATATAGTTTCCTATATAGGCTTCTGGTTTTCCCTGAAGAGATACATGGGGAGAGTTGTGAATGTAGAGGGTGTTGTGAGTCAGATAAAATGGATTTCGCCCATTTTTCACATGAGTCCATGTGCCTGTCCACCAGAATATTAACAAGCTGGCTAAGTGGCAAACTGCTTACCCTGCTGACAACCTTTAACATCCTACGTAATAAGGTATAGTCTTTCTTCAATAGCCCAGGAAAGACTAAGGGGGAACAATAGAGAATAATAGGCAGAATACGGGAGTTAACAAATTGTAGGAGTAAGGGTTGGGTTACACCAGAATGTCTTAACTTCTTGATGTAGAAGGTAAGACGGAATATTTTCTTAGAAATCGTCAAGATATGAGACGACCAGGAAAGATCAGAAGATAGAGTGACGCCTAGGTATTTAATTTCCGACTTGGTTTCAATTTCAGTGCCATCTATGTTGCACACCTCGTGAGTGCTAACCAGTTTGTTTAGGTCAGATTTGTGCCTAAAGGTGAAATTAACTGTTTGGCATTTGGAGGGGTTTAAGGTGAGACCGTTTTCCTTGGACCATTGGCTGATTTCTGATAAGAAGCCATTTAGTTTAGAGCAGTCACTTTGACATTTGACAGGTAAAGATACAGTTAGGTCATCAGCATATTTGACAAAGTTAATGTCATTTGAAGATGGTAGGTCATGTAGGAAGAAGAAAAGAGAAGTGGGGAGAGTACAGCACCTTGGGGGACACCAGCTTCAGTGAGCACAGCAGAGGAGGATTCGCCTTTGTATACGGTGTACTGCATTCTGTTTGAAAAGTAGGAATGCAACCAGTTAGTGACCCAGGACTCGGTTTGTGTCATGGAGAGCTTATTTAGCAAGAGACATCTAGGTACAGAGTCGAAAGCAGAAGTGAAGTCAAGAAACGTGCAGCGGACATATTTGGCACCTTTGTCTAATGATGAGACAATACTGTTGTGTAAGACGGCTGCAGCGTCTAAAGTACTCCTACCCTGTCTGTAGGCAAATTGTTTGGGGTCTTCGAAGCTTTTAAGGGAGGGTTCGAGTTTAAGAAGTACTAGTTTTTCCATGAGCTTTAGAAACGGGGAAGTGATGGCGATGGGTCTGAACTTTACGTTCTTGCTATTGCCAGGTTTAGGGACAGGGACTATTTTAATGTCTTTCCATGGAACAGGTACAACGTTTTCGGAGAAAGAAGCATTTAGGATATTAGTTAGAGGTGAACATAAAGCATCTGCACATTGTTTTAGAACATATGCAGGTATGCCATCAGGGCCAAGACTATGTGAGGGCTTAAGAGTTTTAAGACATTTTAAAACATAAAGAGTGTTAAAGTCCTGGAAGTTATCAGCTACAAGATTAGTAACGTTAGAAGTGGTTATAGTAGAAGGAGAGCGTATAAAAGACAGATTAAGAGCATTAACATCACAAGAGGGAAAAACATTACATCGCTTACTATTGCCAGTAATTTCATTGAAAAATTTCAATTACAATTTTCAATTACAATATTAACGTCGAACAAATGACAATAAAAGAAGACAAGTTTGTATTCATCAGACATTACAAGAATTAGATCATCTCGATCATTTGTAAAAACCTCCTGAGCATGTAGTCTTTTCGTATGTTGCATACACACCTAGTAATACATTAAGACATCTGTATACTTGAAGCATTTAAACAAATACTCTCTGAAGAAGACAGAAACCTTAATTTTAGGTAAATCGGTTATTGGACATGTATGGATCAAGCCTTTTATGATCGAAAAGTCCATTCATAATGATTCTAAGAATAAATGCCTGCCTATATTCCAAATTTAAGTAGAAAAAAGGGGAGTTTTCAAAATATCCCTTGATTTTACATTATCCGTCATATTATTGCAAGGATTGCCTTCTTGTACATTGTAAGAATGGAACTTCTGATAACAGTTTATGATTCATTATGCTTTCTACAGTTAATAAACCAAATTATAAATAGAAAATAGAATAAAATAATAGGTAAATGAAGTTGTTGATATTAACAACCTGATTTTCTGTGCTTAGAATATTCTACAGGTATTTGAGAATAGAAATAGGTTTTCTAAGCCAGTAGCCTAATGCAAATTGCTTCGAATTTTGAAGCGTTGAATGTTGGGTCTCGGTTTTAATGTAACTGTCGAAACATTCAGATGTAAGTAATTCCATCTGATAAGTCTGTAATAAACAGACTGATAAATGGAAACCTGATCTCTAGACACCATCGCCATACGCCACCAAAAAAGATAACAAGTTATTCCGGCTAACTTGTAATAACTGTCGACCTGAAGCTCACAGCACTAACTTACCATCTTGTATGGTCACAAGTGCTTGTGTCTTCTTGAACCAAGTGCTGATGACTTAATCACAAGCTTTTGTGTAAGAATACTGGTATACGAGCTCGCCTTGTAACTGGAAGGTCCTGGGTTCGAATCCCGGTGGGTGCGTACTGTTGAAGCGTCCCAAACTAGGACGAAACAGCTGTCCAGTACTCCTAGGTTTTCCAATGGTTCTATAACTAATGTCAGTTCATGATGAAATCCTGAAACCAATCAAATCCCTACAAACCAACACATAAATACTGTTCTTGTTTAGTGCATACATCAAAAGTTAGGAAGACATGATGGGATTCTCACTTTTCTTCCATATTCAGTGATTCAACTTATTATTAGCACTCTAAACCTTATTCCATCAAAATCAACAAATTTCTAACAAAAGCAAAAAGTCCCACGTGGACTGCCCATGTTACTTTTAAAGTATATTCTATAATGGTGGGTGTCTTAATTCATTTTTGAAATAATTACTTATCGCTTTTAAATAAGCAATAGAATAATCTGGTAGTTGCAGAATTACTGCAATAAATTCATTTCATAAACTGTCAGAGTGAAGACACACGTGCATCGCTTCATCAATTATTACCGTTTACTTATTATAAGTAACATGAAAATGAAATTTAATTAGGCTTGTTGACACAAATAGGTCGACACTAATAATTAGGTAATTATAAGTTGCAGTTATATTATGATGGCTGTCTCGTACTGTTTTCACTCCAAACTTGTCATTAATTTTACAACACAATTATTAGTAACTTCATCATTTGTTATTTGTATCTCATGCGCTAAACTCAACACCAATAAATAAGTAGTGATTGTTAGCATATGAAGAGACTCAAGAGCACATGTATTCTCTCTTTATTTCGCCATAAACAGTAAGCCAGTTATTCTTGATCAAGACTGTATCCCACTACTTCCATTTTCATTTTATAGATTTATTTTTCGAACATTTTCAGATACCCTGACTTTTCATGATGAAGTCTAATACAAATCTTTGAGAGACTAACTTTTTGTTTTACTTTATCACTATGACAACATCATAACCGATAGACAAAATATTTTCTAATCATCTCTGTCAGTTATCACGTATCTACTTACTATGAACGAACTTTAATATACTCTTGTTTTTTGTAAAATATAAACAATTCAAAACTTATCCGTGTTGTTTTTGCTAACTTTACTCGTGAATTAATATGAAACACAAAGATTAATGTATGATTATTTTTTATTATGACTATTGAACATTGAAAAGACTATTATTAATGACATATCATTTATCTGTATACATTTTTGTACTTAATAGAAGAACGTAAGTAATACATAACATAATTCTTCGATATAATCGCATCTTATTTACAAATATTGGCTTGCAGTAACTTTCTATATTATGTCACTTTATAGCAGAAGGATCAAGACGTTTAGATTAAAAGAGAAATGAAGACGCCTAATTAACTAACTTGTTGAGTTACTTTTCAATTGTATTCTATGGATATTCTATGATAGGAACCAACTGACAATCCTTATCTCATAAATATATAATATATATTCAACTCAAAACACTTTTGGAGAAAAAGATAACAGAAGCTTCGTAGTACTTAGATATTTCAAATATTTGAAAAGAAAATGGAATAACTATTGACATTTTTACATTATCGGTTGGTTGGCTAAACTGCTCCATCCATGGTAGAATTTTGACGCTTGTCACTTACCTTGAGGTTAATATGGTGTTATTTAAATGATTTTAGCTACCAGTAGAATTCTGGATAGGTTTCTTGGCTTTGTTAGCTGAATGTACTTGCATGAGTTGTAGTAGTCCAGTTGAAACCCGAACCTATCATCTCAAACACTCCAAGTCATTAACCATGAAAATATTGGGTCTCAAAAGTCATTTCTTTTGCAACGGGTATGTTTTGAAATTATTTAAATATAGTTCTGACTTTCCTGTCGATAGATATGGATCGGATTGATTAGTTTCATTTTGGTATATGAATTCATTTATTGGTTGCCATCGTGTTGGTGTAGTAAATAACAGAAGGTTACATGTTGGATGGTAGCTAACACTGAAATATAGGTCACACATTTCGTTTTAACTGGGACCCATCAGTTGAATCTCCTTGCTCCTAATGGATTGGCAGTATTCTTACCGATAATCAAACTTAGTACCCATTGTTTGAAATGTCAATGTTATTCACTAGTCTACTGAGTCATGAGAGCCACTTTCAATGCAAACAGTACTGGTTGATAACTTACTGAAACTGTGAATTTTTCGTTGACTGATCGGGCTGGAATTTGAAATGATGATGCCTCCACTCACTGTGATGCGATCGAAGTGCGACAAAAGCTTGTGTCATATACTCCATCGCCAACCATCATCAACTTAATAACACAAGGGAAACGGAGAACCTAAAGCACTGTCATTTAAGAGGAAAAAACTTTGAAGCTTCAAGTTATTTAGTGAATATTGTATTATGTTTGGAAAAGTATGCTTCAAATGTCGGTGATTGCTGTTGTCAAATAAATATATATTCAAGCAAAAAGGCTATCCATAAGGTTAAATCAATGTTTTAAATTACTCAGACACTTCGGTTTTGAAAAATATCAAGTAATGCGTAATGAAATACGCATGCTGTTAGTGTCGAACATCTTACAAACTTCAAGTTTCGAATCCTTGTAAGCCACACTAAATTCTCTTTAGATATTCCCCTCACGCTAGGTGATTATTACGCATCCACAGCTGAAGATTCAGGTGAAAGTGACAGATAGATATTTGCTTTATATAGTTGTTTACTTTATCGTCTGCTCAATGACTTCTACCTTTTTCCCGTGTAATAAACAGAATAAATTTACTAGATGCCTTCTTGACATTCTGTCTCTTTCCAGGTTATTGACAGATAAGGATTATGCTCATCATTCTCCTCCCAGTCAATCACCTTGGTTATTGCATTCATCTGACGCTTGATGTGTACTTCTTTAAAAACAAAACTCCGCTAATTTAACTATATTTCTAATAGATATAAACAGTAGTATATATATATATATTTCACATCTTTCTAAAAATTCTAAAACTTCACCAATAGAAGCTAATCCTTGCATTCTTTAACAAAATGAGCCCACTTATTCTTCCCTATTATTTTAAATTTGGATGAGATATATAAAACAAAAAGATTGCCATAACACTTTGCAGGATTATTTTGCAAAAAACCCTACTAATCATTATTTGTGAATAACCTCAAAACTTTTATGTTCATTATTATCATTATTATTATTACAGTTGTGAGGAGGAAATGATATTTTAAAAATTGTTCAATTGTCAATGGTTATTAACTTCACCTGGTTGTATACACGGCTACACTAGCATTATTTGTTTGTCTGTTTGTTTTCGATTTTGGTACCACTTTTAATCAAGTGTGATTTTTTTTGTTATTTTTATCCAAGTTCCCACTTTAATTCTCTTTATATCCTTCTTGTTGTTTCTATTCTTCTGCTTACTTTCATCAAATATTACAGTTTAGGTGAATATATTTTGCCTAGTGTGAGTTCAGACAATGGTAATAAAAAACCAGATGAACCGCAAGAACATGAGATAAAGGTAAGTTGATCATTGGCTTTATTCGAAATCATTGAATAAAACTAAAGTCAAATTAGAATCTTTCAATTCAATCCATAAGACCCTAGATCCCTATACAATCATTATGGATACAGAAGTGTTATAATGTCTATTTGATTAACAATAAACTGTATTATATGCTATTGTAATCCAGATAGCTTCCAGTGAATAATTAGTATGGTAATTCATTCATCCATTCAAACAATTAGGCATTGTCAAAAGTTGTTCCTTTTGAAGTAGTGATAGTCAAATAAGCCTTGTGCAATTCAAAATTTATTATATACCTTGTAATGCATAATTTAGTGTAATAGACACCCATGAGACAATGAAATCAAGTGAATTTTGTCATTTGTCTGCGCCTACATCTACTAAATGATAAGCCAGACTAACAATAAAAAGAAAAACGTCTGAGACATAAATAAATGCACTGAAGTTTTTATTGTGTATGTGCTTAAAGTCAAAAGAAATCAGCTTAAACCTACAATGTTTTACATTAAAATTGACCTGTATACTGCATAGAACACATACATGAACGTTTAGAACAAGGTCTAAATAAAGTGAATTTCGAAGAATACTAATAACACTTTATGAGTTTAAAGGAAAGCGTCTCTAATGATTGCATAAAAGTTCACTGGTTTAGGGTGAAATTTTAGCTGTGTAATTTTATTTCAGTTCTTAAAGGACAATATTTCGCCTAGGTTTTCTAATCTGATTGCCTACTTTATTCTAGAGGGAGTGAAATTTTTATAACTGATTTACTTTAACACTGTAATCATAAACTTTATAATTTTTGTTATTTTAATCGATTGTTGAACTGTCTGTTAAACAATTGTCACTACCTGTTTCTTAAAGCATGTTCTGTACAGTTCTAGTTGAGTACACTTCCATTTGTTTAGCTGTTTAGCGCTTTTTTTATGATGTTGGATAATTTATAACTGACTTTTATTAGCTTAGTAGATTCTTTCTGTCACTTAAAATACTTATATATTTAATGAAAAAAAAAATGTGAAGTACATGTTGAAACCGTCATCCAGACATTTGAATTCAAGTAATAAATTTTGATATCATTTTTCTCAGATATACCCGACTTGAAAAAACAAAATAATTAAGCAAAGAATATCCTTTTCGATAATTTCCTCCTCTGGATCTACAATTATATATATATATATATATATGTTTAAGTACATCGAATATTCTAGTATAGTAGTCAATAATAATATTAGCGTTTTTTTAAATATCGATTTGTTAAGTAATTACAGTTCAATTACAGTTCATTAAAGATGCATAATTTATAGTAGTAATAAGAAAAATATAGTAGCAAAAAAATATCAACTAAAATTAGGGAAATTTCTCCGAAAATTGAGTATCATTCAAATCTAGATGGACAAGGTAAGCATAATGTCTGAACTAACTTCTTTTGGATGCATAAATTAGGTTTCTGGATAACTCAACGGACTCAGCAATATTTAGTAATCGAATTCTTAAGGCCAAGTTAGGATTTGTTGGTATGAGGCAAATGACTTTGAAAGCCTGGTTAATATCAGTCTTTTGTTCAGTGTCCACAGGATAAGATACAATAGCACTATGAATAGATATTTGTTCGTCCATTTCTTAACCACACAGGGTGATGTTCAGAAATCCAACGAGAAACACACCTGACTGTGCGGCCTGTGTAACAAGCTCCACAGGAGAAATCGAAGTCATTTACCGCATACCAACTAATCTTAATTTCACCTTAAGAGTTCGTCTACTACATTTTGCTGAGGATGGCTGTTCGGATCCTCATTAAGAAACCTAATTTATGCGTCTGAAAGAAGCTAGTTCAGACATCTAGGTTTGAATGATCCTCATTTTTTATGGAATTTTCCTAATTTTAGTTGATATTCTATTTACTACTATATCTCTATTATTATTATTATAATTTAAGCACCTTTAATGAAATATAATTCCATTAATCTTATTTAACGAATCGATATTATTTAAAAAACGCCAATATTGTTATTGACTACTATTCTAGAATATTCTATGTATATAAACATATATATATAATTTTATAGCCAGAAGAGGATATTATCAAAAAGGATATTCTTTGCTCAATTATTTTGTTTTCTATAAATGTCTGAGTGAATAGTTTCTCTATATCCCACTTTGTCATGATATATAAGACAGAATATTACAGACTTGTGTGTATAAAACATACGTAAGAACTAATTTTGCAAACTACAATAGATTGCAACAGCAGTTTCTTTGAAGAGACTTTTCAGAAATCCACCTAATGATGTGGAGTTAAGCGATGTGGTAACGATTATAATTATAATAAGTTTGCAGTATGATCGCCAAGCTAGGTGACTGGCCATCGCGGTGCACAATGATCGGACGTTAGATGGTTTAAGGCATTCAGTAGGAAGCCGTGAGCCTATTTCTCGCGCTTGTCGGCGCTCCTCAGAAACGTGTATCTACAGCCTCAGAGGAGCTGTCTCCCCTCCTGTGAGTCAGGCCTGAATCACCCAATGCTGTAGTCATAAACGTTAGCAACGAGCTATTCGGGTTCACTAGGGCGAAATGAATGTCTTCGGCATTGTGGCTGACTAAATCCTATCAGTCAGGTTTGCTGAAGAGTGCCAACAAGTATGAATTTTAAATTCAGGACTTCCTGCTGACTGTCTCCAATCGTCTAACACAGTTAATTCTTGAAACAAGCGACAAATATCCTTACAACTTCAGAACTCTTATATGATTCTTGCTTCTAGTAGAATATTTCAAACGAAGACTTTTGTGGTGGACAAAACCAACACACCTTGCGTGAAAACAATGACAGACATATGAACACTTGCCCAAACTTTATTAGATAATATTGGTGTGTCAGTCAGACAGATTTAACTTCAAACGTATGTCAGGGTCTTCATTCCATACAATGAACATTCACAATATTAAGAACATCTGTCAATTACTCGGATAAATTGGCCCTACAGTATATCCAGGAAATCCTAAATCAGTGGTCCTTCCATCCGACTAGGTAATAATAAAGTCTCTTCAGTTGAAACATCTGTGTGATTACATCACTGAGCATCTGTCATGCTTGACTTTTTTCTATGATTTAAAAGTAAACTTTATGATAAGTTCCACTCTGATGACTTCCAGGGTATAGATCGCTATAACCATGACGCTGCTAACCGACTCTATCAAATGGTAGTCTGTAACAAAGAATATTATCTAAAAAAAATACAGAAAGGAAATTTAACGTCTGAATAGCTGAATTACAGAACACTAAACATTGTGACTGCCTGCCAATTCCATCAGTCAAATTCGGTAGTCTAACAAATGTAGTACTTTTTCTCGAAGTTCTGGATTTAATATGTTTGAGTAAGAGTTCGACTTATTTTCAAATAAAATAATACTGAAATACGTGCGAAATGGCTAACATTTTTACAGAACACTTTGTGTGAAACATACTGCTGAATTTCATTAAAAGATGAAATATTCATCAATAGTTATCTGTGTCCTAGACGCAGACTTTATCATCTTCTGTCATTTTGAAATGTTGTTGCTTAAACTCTCCGCTTCTTGGTGTTGAGCACATAATTATTATTCCCTCGGGTTCTGAGTAGAACATAGAACTTCAACAGCACTTCTCCATTTTGTCCTATTCTCTGCAGCCCTCTCAAGCTGGCTGCATCGTTGCTCACAAGCTTTTATCGCCTCCTCGTGCGATCTCTTCCATGTGACCTTAGGACGCTCAACGCGTCGTTTATTATTTGGGTCCACTCGAGTGATGGCTTGGTGCGTGATGTCACTCAGCGGACTCCTAAGTGTATGTCCAATCCATCTCCCTTTTTCTCGATATATTTGGGCAATAAACTCTTGATTGGTTCGTTCCCAGAGTTTCTTGTTGCTTAGTGTTTCTGGCCATTTGTTCTTCAATATGGAGCGAAGGTAGCTGTTGATAAAGCTTTGCAGCAAACTGTTGGAAGCCATTTTCTTGACGCACCAAGTTTTCGACTCGTATAGAAGAATCGAATTAACATTGGTGTTGAAAATACGAATTTCGTTCTTTAGGCTTACTACAGCAGATTTCCAAACTGTTTTCAGAGTGACGACTTTCAGATTTCTCCTGCTGATAATGACTGGTGCTTGGCGTTGTTGGTTGGAAATAATTAACTGCGAGTTACGCTGTTAAAAGTGAGCACTTGTCACACCAAGTCACAGGCTTAGGTAGCAGGCAAAATATGTGATTTGGTTGGCGGAATAATTAATCAGAGTTAGTATTTCCAAACACTTTACACATGAAATAACTCCTCGGAAAAAATAAACGTTTATTTGGTAAAACAAAATATGAGATATTTAACCTTACAAACTCATGCTAAACATGTGGTGAACAGTTTACAAAGTATGCAATAACTTTTAACATTTTCAAGCCTTTTACTTTATCCCTATGCGCTATCGGTGCAGTTTTTGTTTTTATCCGCAGAGTCCCTAGTTTGCACTCTAACCCGTTATACAATAATTTATCCTCTTTATGTGATATACTTTGTTATTCTGAGTGAAGTTGTCATCGAAACAGGATGTTTCCAGAGGTGATGTGAGTGAACCTCGTACCAAAATAGCAAAATAGTATTCCAACTCCTAATTCAGTTTTAGGCACAAACTTTTAATGTAATACTTTACCATAATCAATGCAGAAGGAAGTGTGGCGAACTTTCAACATTTTTAGTCACGTACAAAAACGACTGCAATCAATGAGAACACTTTTTGAATATACTTGATAGTACTATCCAATTGTTAAGATTGATACTTAAGATACCAATGTGACCTGAAACTAGCTAACTAGTTAACCTATACGTGAGATTTATGGGAGGGCTATTTTTGGTTTTACAGCTAATCAATCTAGACTCATTAAGTGGTTAACGACTTCCTCAACTACTTTGAACTTGATGCTTCACGAAGTGGTGAATGTGTACTACAGAAGGACTTCAAAACCATGACCAAATATAGACGGTCAGTGTTTATTTCGTTTTCATTAACAGCTTAGCTTATAAAGCTTACTGGCTAATTCTACCTCGGAGTCAACAGTATTCAATGACCACCATAATTTTCTCAAATTCTCCTGTCAGATGAAGTTATCGACTTCTACTGACATACAGAAAATTATGTGGTGGTAATTTGTCAATCAGTACTTAGGTCGTCAAAAATTAAGTAAATCTTCACTGATATATTTACAAAAGATTTTTACCTACATATGGAAACAAAACGACGTTTCTTGTTTAGTAGGTATAACAGTTTAGAGAATTGCTTGAAGTTTCAACATCATCTACATTATGTATGATGATATTATCGCTTTTCTAATTCTCTTATTAGTACTAAACTGTTTTTCATACATGTGAAACTGTCATTTATCGTTTTCGTTTCATTTATATGTAAATTTTGAACAATACTAAATACAATATACAATACAATACTAACTCATTTTTAAGCTATCACATAACAAACATGCACATCTACTATTAGTGTCGTTGTTTTCCCTGATTATATTGAGTATTAAAAGATAAAATCAATCATTGTGTCAATTTTCAAGAACTACTAGTACAACTGAAGACATTTTGTTTTTGTATTTTGACTGTTATAAACAGTCTAAGCATAATGAGAAAGCTCATTCATCAAATCCAAACCAAACTTTATACTTCATACTGTCGATCAGTTCGCTTAGAGAAATCAGACTTCACAGTGAAGTGATTTATTGATTGTTTGTTTGTTTCATTGAAGAAACAAAACTAAAATGTAACTAGATTTGAACAGTAGATTCATAGATTACTGAATGACTACTTTACTAACTAGTTTATCTGTTGACGAAAATGAAAATGTATTGATTTCACCTCATACATTCCATAATTTTACACACATGTTTGTAATTGAGTTTTTAGGCAACAAGTAGACACTGACTGACATAACACCTAACTGAGGAGTATCAAGTTTCTATAAAAGTAGTTGAAACTTAGCTTACAATCGAACCATACAGCTTTACTAATCGATACAATAGTAACAGTCAGTGGTGTACAAGCTGTCAGTCTAAATTACTCTATGAATAAGATATTTTTTTCCGAAAGGGTTTGTACTGTTCATTTCTTACTGCATTTCAGGTTTATGTATGTATGCAAAATAGTGCTTTTCCTAACTAAACTAGATTATTTATTTTTCTTTATTTGTATTGGAGGAAATCACTGGTTTCTTTTGTTTTAAAATAATAAATACTTAACATTTTCTAGGTCACATTTTGAGATCTGTTTAAACAAAACGCCTCATTTTCTTTTTTTACAAGCTAATTGATTTTGATACCTACTGGACTGTATATGACCAGAATAGAATAATTGGAGAAATACCTAATGTGAAAGTCAACTGTTACCATCATACTGATAGAAAAATAAAAAATGGTGAGACTAATGATCATTCATTCTTACTTCATTGATAAAGAATAATTCATTTTCTCTATCAGTCTATCTAACTGGACATTTTTTAAACAAAATTTCTTTTTCAACATTTTAGAAGTGAACAATAAACTTTCCGGTGGTTCAGAGCTTTCAAAACAATCGGAAAATGTTAGACAGTCTACGGGGAATGTCATGCTTTACTATGCTGTTGCTGAACCGAGTCATGCATCACTGCCACAATATCCTGTAGTTCTCTTTCCTTTGAAAACTCAACTTCACACTACACAAAAATAATCTGGAATCTTTTTTTCACTCAGACTAGTTAGTAGATATATGTGTGTGTGTGAGTTAATGCACTTGTTCGTGAGTTCAAATCTTAGAATAACCAATAAATCTCCGTACAAAACTATATAAAATATATTCAGATTGTCAGTATCGTGATTACATATTTGTTTGATTCAATGGGTTTTGACCTCTGGTATTGGGACTCTCACAGTAAAACACATATTACCTCCATTTCTTTGATTGTATTACTTTTCTAATAGTTGTATCTTTCTTCCCTATTTTTATAGTGATATTTTGTTTTGAAATATTACTTGTCTGATTCAATATTCTTGAAATTTACTTTGTATATATGCTAAATGAATATACGCACAAGTTTCTTCTTTAAAGCATATCTATTTTATCATGTTTCGCTTACTGATACATCTGTGAGACTATTTGAACTTACCAGATCATGGCAATTATCTAAATGAAAAGTCAAAAAAGTAGTTTTCCTGAGTACAAGATTTCAACCATCTACTGATTGTTTATTTTTGTTGTTGAAAAAGTGACTGAAATTGTCTGTCATGTTCAAGGTCATCAGTGGGGTGAGACTTTCGAAGGTCATTTTCGTCCATGTTGGTCGGCCATGTTGGATTGCAATTCCGTAGCCATTCCTTTACACACCGGTTTTTACGTTTATCCTGAAGTTATTCACAATTTATCTTGATGCGCATTTTTCACAAATGTTGCGTTTCACCTCATTTTTGTTTCTGTTGCTGTTAAAATTAGTCATTTCGAAATTTCAACCAAACGTGACATATAAATCCAGTAGAAAAAGTCAATGTCTTTAGTGTTTGTTTATCCTGATATTTTTTTATTGTGAATACATGTTAAGAAGAGAAGTGAATTTAATCCTATTTGTTAGTACAATTTGGAAAAATGTACTATTTCACTTCAAATTATTTCTATCTGAAAGATAGAATTTCCCAGTAGTCATGACAGTGATACTAATTGTAGCGGCATACTTCGTTGCTATGTTTGCCCAGTGACATAAGTAATCTTTTTTGAAATATTTTAACATTAAATTGTGAATTGAAAAATTGTTTTGAGATGTTTATTTTTTGGCTGTTGAATAGATTCCGCTGGTTTGTAGCATTAAATGTTGTTTGATACTCATTTCTAGACAGTAGGTTTCAAAGTGAAATGATAAACACTGACATTTTCATGATTTTGTGGTAGTATATGTGGCTTACCTCATTAGACACACTTCGTTTTCTAACGTTAAATCAAACTTCGGTATGCAATATAATTCCCCGTTTTTTTAAACAGTTTGTCAAATATAGACCGTTTAACAGAGCTTCACAAATTTCTGTTTAGTCTCTGACTTTGAGATTACTGTGTTGAAATGATAAAATCGAGTATAGAAGAAAATATCACTGAAAATAGGATCCGAAAGTGTTGGTTTGCAGGGATTTGGTTTGATTAATTACAGGATTTCATCTTGATTTGACATCACTCAGAGGACCATTGGAAAACCTGTAGGGAGTACTGGACAGCTGTTTCGTAAGTCTAGTTTGCGACTCTTCAACGATTTCGCCGTCTGGGGTGGTGTTAAAAGCAACCTGGATACCAAGTTAGGTATGCCGGTTGTTGAGTCTGGTTTCAGGGAACATGGGATCACTGACCAAGGTCCACAGTTTCTTGCAGTTATCCACGCTCTACCACAGGAATTAAGTAAATGCGTAACTGTGTGAATGTCCAGCACAGAGGTAAGCAACCCTCCTTAAGAGAAGCGATCTCATGGATCGATAGCGTCTTCATTAACTATTTCGCAGTGTCGACTTAGTCGACCAGTCAGCTGTAAACATGCTAACAGAATGCAAGAAGTTATCGGCCGACGTCGGTTCTATAAAAGACTCCTTAGAGAGATGTGTGGTGGACCTTATACACTGTTAGCTTAGTTACCCAAATTCAAATAGAAAATAAAGTACCAAATCAGCTTAGTTACGGGAAGAATGTATTAAAGTTTGGTTACTTGGGTTTACAAAGATCAAAAATCCACAATAAACGTAATAGACTCCAGGTGCTGCGGGAAGACTGCTCCAGTACTAATTCTCCAATGTTGACGTTGCCGGAGGTCGACCAAAGTACGTAGGAAGAAACTACGGTGCTCCTGCAAAAATTTGAGATAGAAAGCAGGTGATTAAAATTGATCGACGGCAGTTGAGATGGTGGAGAAGACGGAGAGTCGAAGGCAGAACTATATATTTATTCAAAACCCGAGGTAAAGTTCAAAGTACAGAGTTTATGGTTAAAACAAAGTGATGTACAATATGTTCATTTTTTACATAGTAGTAAAATTTGGATAAGTTTATTTTTGAGGACTCCACAGGGCTCCCCCTCTTAGAGGTCCGGAGGACCATCAGTACTGTCCTCGTGGACGATTATATGAATATAAGCAATATAAATAAGGGACAATGTCAACAATAAGGATACAAAGTTAGATCAGGATGTATGGAATGCATCCGTGTCGTATAAAGTTTAGCACATACAAGCGATACAGGAATTTAAAAAAAATCAAAACTTGTTATAATTTTAAATAAAAAATTTATGTACATAATAAACCATGACATGTTCGTTAACATTTGTGAAATTCATATATAAATAGATATATACATATACTTGGTGAATGCGTGTGCTTGCAGTACAGTTAACGAACAGCAAACAATAATACTAATAAATATTTATGGTTATAATGAAATGAATCTCGACAATAGTAATGAGAAGAATGTCTAAATGAGGTTAACGTATTTTATGTCAGTCAATAAAATGAACATAGCGGGCAGGTTTACAGATCTGCCGTCCACTGCGTGTCTGTACAGGGGGAAGAGTGAAGAGCGGGAGAGTTGGAGTTGCATTGACTTTCTGATTGTTTATTGGTGTCGGCGTTGCTAGTGTTTCATATTCGCTGTCGGTGTACGCTGGTTTAAGACGGTCGATAGAAACAGTCTCCGGTTTACCATGTTTGTTCAGCGTGAAGTATTTATCGGTGCGTTTAAGTACTAGAAAAGGACCTTCATATGGATGTTGTAAACCTTTTCTAATGGCATCGACGCGAACAAATACAAATTTGCTAGTGAGTAGATTCTTATTAACTTGAGCTTTCTGAAGTGATTGGCGAGGGGCTACTGGTCGAAGCTGGAGCATTTGCTGGGTAAGGCGGTTGGTGAAGTCGGAGATATTTACTTCAGTTGAATCATTAGACGGAACTAACTGACCAGGCAATGTGAGGGTAGTACCATACACAAGTTGAGCTGGTGTACATCCCAAATCTTCTTTTACAGTTGATCGGATACTGAGAAGAACTAATGGTAGGTGTTCACTCCACTTAGATGAGTCAGCTTGTGCCATAAGCGAGCTTTTCAGTTGTCGATGGAAACGTTCCACCAGACCATTCGCTGCAGGATGATAAGCTGTAGTGGAGATATGGTTCACTCCAAGGAGTCTCGTAAACTCTCGAAACAGAGTTGATTGAAATTGAGCTCCTCGGTCTGTTGTAATAGTTGTGGGTACTCCGTAGTTTGACACCCAGCGATCTAAGAAAACCAAAGCGATATTTTCTGCAGATATATCGTTGAGTGGACAAGCAATAGCCCATCGGGTAAATCGATCAATCGCAGTAAGTATATGAGTAAATCCTCTGGATGGCGGTAATGGTCCAATAATATCTATATGAACGTGTTGAAATCGTTTATCCGGTAAATTGAACTGTTTTGGAGGTGTGACGGTATGATGATGTACCTTGGATCTTTGACATTGCAAGCATTGGCGGGCCCATTTCCGAATATCGGAGTTCATCTTGGGCCAAACAAAACGCTCGCTGATTAACTTGACCGTAGCACGCACTCCAGGATGAGACAATGAATGTAGATGTTCAAACAAAGGTTTTCGACAACTTAGTGGAACAAAAGGTCTATGAACGCCCGTTGAAACGTCGCAGACGATAGTTGTATCAGACAGGGGAATAGGTACATCCTGCAACTGTAGGGAGGAGTTTCGTCTACAAGTATGGAGTTCGGCGTCATTTTTCTGCAGCTTGGCAATATTGTCTAAGCTAATATCTATCGAAGATAGGTGATTAACGTCACATCGAGACAAAGAATCGGCTACGATATTGGAATCTCCTTTGATGAACTGGATGTCTGTTGAGAATTGTGAGATGTAATCCAGTTGTCTGGCTTCTCTCGGAGAGTGTCTGTCCAACGAAGTGGTGAAAGCATAACAAAGAGGCTTATGGTCGGTTAAGATAGTAAAATGTCGACCTTGTAGTAAGAAGCTGAAATGTTTCACTGCTAGGTAGATGGCTAACAGTTCTCTGCCAAAAGTGCTGTAACGAGTTTGCGCAGGTTCCAATTTCTTGGAGAAGAAAGCAAGTGGAGTGATGTCATTATTGAACTTTTGTTGTAAAACTGCTCCCACTGCTACCTGCGATGCATCTGTACATAAAATGAGTGAAGCTTCTGGGTTGATGTGAGATAACATTACAACGTTGGATAAGGCATCTTTTGCATTATTAAATGCTGCTTTTGCTTCTTCAGACCACTGAAATTTCTTCGAATTGCATCTAAGTAGGTCGGTCAGTGGCTGAACTATGGAGGCACATGATGGAATAAAACGTCGGTAGAAGTTGAACATCCCGAGAAAACGTCTAAGTTTCTTTAAGGAATCAGGTTCGGGAAAGTTCTTAATAGTTTTTATCTTATCTTCGGTAGGTCTGATGCCTTCGGCAGTTATTCGATGTCCTAAGAATTCAATGGAAGGGGAACCAAAAATACATTTCTTTGGATTGATAACAACTCCAAATTGTTCAAACCTTTGAAATAACAGGCTTAAGTGTTCCATATGTTCTTCCATCGATGAGCTGGCAATTAAGACATCGTCGATATATACAAAGACGAAATCAAGACCTTGGGTAACTTGGTCCATAAAACGCTGAAATGTTTGAGCAGCATTCTTTAGTCCGAAAGGCA